ATAAATAAATAAATAAATAAATATTATTTCTTCATATCAACATGTAACCTGCACAGACTGCAAACAGCTCAATGGGTTCTCACAAATCCATTGTAAAACATGTTGTAAATCTGAGTGTAAAAGCAGCACATGACCTACGACGAATAGCCACTGTCTTGACCTCTTTTGCAATAAGTTAGTTTTTTCTGCTAATGTTATAGAATTAGACCACTACAGCACGTTTCTCTTGTGTCTGTTTTTTCCTGCTTGGCAGTATGTCCATGAGATAGTTGTCATGTAGTTGTGACACACAGTTGAAACGTACATATTCATTTTCATTACTTTGTAGTGACAATTCTCAAACTTGTTGACCTCTTTACATGGTAAGAATTATTGAAAACCAGAGTTTTTTTTTAATGTAGATTTTGCATAGATACAGATAGATCTAGATTTATTCTGGATTTCACATTAAAACAGATTAAAAAAAAAAAAAAAAAAAAAAACAACCAGAACACATAAGCATGTGTTCTATCCACCAGTGATTCACATTATCACCGCAGCCCAGGAGCCTCCAGAAACTCATGAGAGGAGAGTGCACAAGGGTACATAAGGTCTTGGAATTACTACAGAAATGATTTTGACCCCATGGGTCCCCTGTGAAGGTCTTGGGGACCCCAAGAGACCAGGGTCACACTTTGGGAACTGTTACTGTATATTATTTCATTAAATCACTGTGACCCTCTTGCTGTTTTTTCCTTCTCCTCTGGAGTAAATGTCTTTCTCAGGCCTTTCCAAAACTCTCCTGGGACCTGGCAGCCTTCTTGCTGAGTGCTAGATCAAGACCTAGCTCTGTCCCTTTTCCTTTGGATTTCAGTTTTCCTCATGAGAGTGGTGAGGATATTTGGTTGGGTGGCCCCTGAGGTCCCTCCTTAGCTGGGACCCTCTGTGGCCCCACAGTCTTCAGACATTCTGTTGCTCTGAGATTCAAGATCATCGGTCTATTACACTGAGCATATCATTTTTCAGGCCAAGAATGATTCTCTCTAACATTCTATTGACCTGTAGACTTCAGGGCAATTGCCTATGTGGCCTGCCGCAAATTACATGACTATAGTAGCCTACCGTGTCCTCATCTTTAAAGCGAGGGAATAACAAGGGTTCATAAAAATATAAAGAACAGTAAAATAGAAAAAGCCTGTCTCTTTGGGTGGTTGTGGGAATCAAATGCAATGCTCGTGTAGGACGCTTACAATACCAGCCTGTCTCGTAGGAAGAGCTAGGGCTGCCCAACATCCCATCATTTTACTCTTGTCGTCACATACCACCAGCACTATCCTTTTCTCATGTCAACAGAATCATCTTCATTATTACCTTGCTCTAAGAACTTAGGGCTCTCAAGTTCAGTGTTTCTGAGACCTGCTGTGGCTAAGATTCTATTATCCTAAAGCTCTGAGTTGTTCCACAACTTTGTTATTTCTGGGGACAGTGGTTCATCAATTCTAGCATCCCATGGCCTTCAGAAACTTTTGTTCTTATACACCTACACCAGTGTAGCAGGCTTATTTTCTTCCCTAAACCAATTTGGGGAGACCCGGGGCTCACTTACAAGTGGCTTCAGTGGTACGGCGGCTGTAGGACTTGCGGACGTGGTACCTGACTACAAGTTCACCTCTTTCCACTGTTGGTTCAAACACCTCCCTAGGGGGATAGGGAGAAGATGAGGACACAGTAGGATCAGGTGGACACCCCCGCTCCTTTCCCAGTGCTGAATACAGGAATCATCCCACCTCCAAGCCCTGATAGTCCTCTCCTCCAACACTTGCTGTGCATGCCTCGCATTGCCACTTCCTGCCTTTCGTTCACTGGCCTGGCCTCACTGTCCTTTCCAGGATTCCTGGCCATCTCTCCTCCTGAACCAGCCTCCCCACTGATCTCCCTGCCCGCTGCCTCTACTTCCAGGCCACAGGCACCTCTCCATGTTGTTCTAACTCACCCATAGCAGGTCTCCTTCTTCCTCCGGTGGACAAGGAATAGGGCCAAGATGAGGACACAGGCAGCGGCCACAACTGCTCCCAGCAGTACATACCACCAGGGCCACGAGAAGGCGGGAGCTGGGGGTTCACTCACTGTCAGGGGTATGGGGGAAAGGTCATGGCTGAGATCTTGGATCTAGCTCTCTGAGACCTAGGGAGTGATGTGAGAGGGAGGCAAAAGGCGTGGCAAAAGATGGGGATGTGCTGGATGAGGTGGGTGTGGGCTCTCATGTGTCCAGGGCAGGGCAGGGCAGGGCATGCAATGGTTGTGCAATGAGTTAAAGTAGAAAGAGTGAGGAACTTGTGGGATGGATATTTGAGGAGTGTGTTACGAGAGTGCAGGGAGCAAAATGGGAAGACATGGGTCAGGAACAGGTGAGAGTTATGCAAGAAGGGATGGATGAACATGGGATGGGCAGGAGTAAATCGGAAGTAGCACAGGTGCATGTATGTGTGTGTAATGATTGCTCAAGGAGGGTAGACCTAGGTATGGAAGAACAGGTGAGTCAGGAAAGGAATCCCTCAGGGGAGGATGAAATATGAAGCACGCGCAGCAAATGTGTAAGGTGAACAAGTTTGGAGGACAAAGGACCAACGAATGTCTCCAAGGAGTGTTTGACAAGCAGAAAAACGTTTTTTTTTAAAAAAAAAAAAATTATTTATTTGTGTGGCCGGGGGGGGGGCAGCTCACCCCACCAGGGGGCGGGGCTGGCTGGCATGTAGTGCTGGGGGATTGAACCGCGGTCCCTGTGCTTTGCTAAGCTTGCTCTAAGTAGGTGCTTTAGACCACTGAGCCATCTCACCAGCCCCAGAAAAAGGTTTTCATAAAGCAAGCAATGCACATGAGATGCGTGTGCAAAGGGCCATGGTGAGTGTACAATGTAGGGTGGCTGGTGAGGAGTGTGGGGCATGCGAGGAATCAATCCCAGAAGTTGAAGACACAAGGATTCAGCAGTGAGTTCTAAGGACATCATTTCAGAGGCATGCAACGAACATGTAAGTGATGTGAGAAGGGCCTGTGAGGGATATGAATGGTGTGCAAAAAGGGCAGGAGGCAAACGGAGCATTGGAAGGCCACCTGTTGACTGTATACACACTGTGTTTGCAGAGGGAAGGAGCGGTAGTGTTGGTGAGGGTGAGTGAGTGATGTCTAAAGAATGTGGGACAAGTGTATGAGGAGAGTTGTAAGGTATGGGATGGCTGTGGTTTTCAGGGTCTGCAAGGGGAAAGATATGGTGAATGTATACAAGGTGTACAGAGTGTGCACACAAACAGTGTGTCTGCCCTGGGCTTAGGAGGCCTGTGTGAGGAGGGTGGGGTGGGGTGGGGCAAGTGCAGAAATATAGGAAGGCATGGGAGGGTATTTAAGGATAGTGGACACAGCTACAAAGGGAGGACAGAAATAGTGCTAGGAAGCTACGGTGAATATAGGAAGGGTGACTGAGAATTGTTGGAGGAATATTTGAGAAGGGTGAATGTGAGGAGGATAGGCCATTCATCCATCCACCCATCCGTCTAACCATGCAGCCTTCCACACCCATCCATCCACCTACCCGCCCTTCACTGAGTGCCTACAGTGTGTTGGGGCTGGATCATTCTAGGCACTTCCATCAAAGATGACACAAACTCAAGAAGTGCAGCATCACAGTGATGAGTATAGAAGCGCCAAGAGGGTGTGCAAAGACTGTGCATGTGTTGGCAGGGCCTTTGGTGCATGCTGAGGGGAGGGAGGAAAGAAGGGGTGCGAAAGCCCTTACCCAGCTTGTGGACTGGCTGTCCTTGCCCTGTGAGGAGAAAGGACAGAGGAGAGACTGCTCAGAGAGGGCCAAGGATGGCGTGACGCGAGGGAGTGAGGGAATGAGGGAGGCTCCTGGTAAGGCACAGGCAAGAACACAGCCAAGGTTGGGGAGACACAAAAAGGCACATGAACAAGTCAGGGACATTCGGACCAGGTGAGGTCCTTGTGGGTAGGGTGCAGGGGGCTGAGCATGGCTCTGTGCTTACCTGGACGCCAGGGCTCCAGGGGCACAGGCAGGCTCCAGGGCCCATCCCCGGCTGCAGTATAAGCTGCCACGGACACAGTCAGGTTGGGTGCAGGCTCACTGCCCCGCAGCTCGAGGGTCACTTCCTGCTGTAGCCTGACATCCATTAGCACCTAGGAGCCGAAGTGGAATCAGGAAGAACCCGAGGGCCCCACTTCCTAAGCTCCCATCCCTGCCCTCAACTGCCCATCTCTTTCTAAAACCTTTGCCTCTTCTTGTGCCCAGTACCCGCTGCCTCTTCCTCTCCATCTGTCATCTCATGTCTTCTCTCTCCACGCCTGGCAGAAGCTGCGGTACCAGGGCAGGGGCTGTATGTGCCCCATTCCCTGTCATGTCCTCAGCCTCTTAGTGCAACACTTGGCACACGGGTCTCGGCAGTCAACACCAAGGAACTGGATTATCTTTTTATCTCCTCCTTGCCAAACCCTCCCATCCTATCTCTCTACCTTGGGGTGCTGCCAGCCCAGGTATCTTTGTGCAAATCAGGACAACGCAAGTTGCTACACAGCTGTCTACTGTAAAATTGCTTGAGTATGTAACTCTGCTCAAAGGCTTTTGCAATGGGTCATAAGTAGCCATTCCCCAACTCTCTGGGTCCCTAAGCTCCCTAGAGCACACTTTACTAAGTGCAAGTGGATAGTCCCCAGCCTGCACAACTGTGTGTCTGCCTTGCTACTTTCTTCTCCCCATCTCCCTCCTTTCCCAATCATTCTACCTCAACCCAGCCAGCAGCACTCACCTCAGGGGTGTCCTGGCCTCGATAAGCCAACCGGTACCCTAACAGGGTGCCTTGGAGTGGTGCTCTTGGCTCCTGCCAGCGCACCAGGGCCTGGCTCCCGTTCCGAATGGCGCTGACATTCTCAGGGGGACCCAGGGGCACTAGAGGACAGGGAAGAGGGGAAAGCTGGTACTGCATCTTTTCCTGCCCCCTTCCCTGTTCTCAGGAAGTGGGGCAGGCTAGCAGGCACACTCCTGCTGACCTCTGGGCAGAAGCTCAGGGGAGAGATCTGGGAGGGATCTGGCAGTGTGGGTGGGTGGGTATCAGGGAAAAGAACTGAGGGGG